CAAAGGACCTGGGAATAATAAGGTCAGATGACCCAATGTTTAGCGAGCATAATAAAGGTAACAGAGCTTTAGCCTGTAAAATGATTGAGAACTCTCAAATCCAGGGATCCCACCACAATGCTCTTCCTATTGAAATCAGCAGCGCACTAAAGCCTTGAGTACTGCTCGGTACTCGTTTTCCCTTTCAGAGCAGGAGAGAGATCTGAAATAGAGGGAATACAGAGAACCTAGATGGCACGCATAGACACGATCAAACACCTGAACTATTGGGACCGCCTTTAAGCTCTAAAAACATACTCTCTGGAAAGAGAGAGAGAGAGAGAGACGCATCATATGATATATAAACTTGGAAGATACTGGAAGCCCACGTCCCAAATTTATACAGTTAAAAAGAACATACTGAAGCGAGAGATAAGGTTGGAAATGCAGAGATTGACCCGGTGAAGACTAGAGATAACATAGGCACAGTCAGAGAGCACTGAACAGCAGAGGTCCAGGGGAATATCCTCCCAGCAAGCGTAAGAAATATTGCCGATACAAAAGGAAAAATGTTTAAGACACTTTCCTGCCAAAAGTACGAGACCAACCGGGTTGTAGTGGATGTGAGGACCTCCGGCGGGCCGCTCCAAGCAAGTCTGGTGGACCACAAGTTATCACAGGACAAGCCTGGCTCCCGGCCGGGTTGGGAGAGTACAACTCCTGGAACCCATTCCAGGTACACTCTAGGTAAAGTGCTGATCATAACAATGGAAAGAGACAAGAAAATTAAAAAATTTTGGGGGAAAAGTATTGAAACTAGAGATAGGACAAATCTGAAGAGAGGAGGTGGCGAGGAGTTAAGACATGCTTGAAACAAGACAAGCAGGAAGAACTACGAGCAGGAGAACTTTAAACCTAACGAACAAACGAAAAAAAGTAATCTAGGAAAAAAGATGTAGGCTGAGGCGACGCGATCGTCAGACTGGCTACCTTGTCTACCTTGTGTAGCTTTCAGGAATCAACAGTCTTGCGGCCCGGTCTCCGACCAGGCCTCCCAATTGGCCACTACACACATTTGTTCGTTTCTTCAGCCGATTGGTCGTCTGGTCAATCAGGCTGTTGGACGAGGCTGCCTGCAGCCTGACGTATCACAGCGTGATTGATCAGGTATTTTTGGAGGTGTTTATCAAAATCTCTCTTGAACACTGTGACGGGTCGGCCAGTTATGCCTCTTATGTGTAGTGGAAGCGTGTTGAACAGTCTCGGACCCTTTATGTTCTCTCTCAGAGTACCTGTTGCACCTGTGCTTTTCAACGGAGGTATTCTGCATATCCTGTCATGCCTCCTGGTCTCATGTGATGTTATTTCTGTGTTCAGATTTGGGACCAGCCCTAACTTCCACGTGTAGTTTATTATGTATCTCGTCTAAGGGACCCATCTCCTCCTTTTCACAAAATGATTGAGATGCTTCTACTCCCCGAGCCTGGCCTCGGGCCGGGCTTGGGGAGTAGAAGAACTCCCAGAACCCCATCAAGCAGGTATCAAGCAGGTATCCTCAATAACCTTTGTCATATGACGCTTTGAAACAACCACCTCCTGCTCACTTAAAGTGTCACAACCGTCCACAGTTATGGTCACAGATGAGAACTTTCGTGTTTTTTTTAAGGCACCTTTGGTTTCTTAGTTAAATCTATTGCCTCTTGTTCTTGCAGTTGCAGATTTAGAAAATTCCTACTTGTCACCTCTCGATTCCTGTCACAATATTGCTCACGGCGACCATATCATCTCCTTTTCCCTTCTAGTTTTGGTGTAGTTAGCACCTCTAGTCTCTCTTTGTAGCTGTTTTTTGTTTTGATTGTTGCCGCCGGAGGCGGGTAGTTTATTGTACACCCCCATACTCATCCTGTGAGCGGTAGCGCAAAAACCATGACAGAGGGCACAAAAGGTCTTTCAATTCCGGGCGCCATGTATAATCCCTCCGGATAATTGGGTCGAGTTGGCTCTGGTAAGAGTTGCTGTTGGCAGAGGCCTTCACTCCTTGATTGTCATCCTGAACATCTTTTATTTATTTAATTATTTATTTATTTATTTATATATACAAGAGTTCTTATACTCTTGTACAGCAACTAACACGCATAGCGTTTCGGGCAAGTCCTTTGGACTGAAACCTGTATATCATACTGTACTTGCTTTTAATTTTAAAAGCATAACTGTTTTTAATTTTTTAGGGAAGGGCTTTATTTAGCACATAGATCTGACTGGCATTTGTTTAAAGCAATCTCTTTCCGTAACACATTTTTAGTAAAGAGCCATTACCACGTCCAGTAGTGAGGATAACACCACAGTATAGGTATGTTAGAGTCATTAGAGAGGTATTCTAAGCTTTGATGTTCTAACTGAGCGAATGTTTGAGTGGTGTTGGAACCATCAGCTTGGCGACAAGGTGGTGGAAGCGACGGCCTCAGGGTTCAAGGACAGGACCAAAAGGCGGTTTTCCCTACCAACGGGACCTCGGTTCGACTCCCGCCGCTCCTCTACCGTCTCCGTCTGCTCCTCCACATGTACGGCTCCACCCACATTATGTAACACAAGCTTCTCTTTTTTTTCCCCTCTATGCCTTTCTCTCTATATATTCTGCATTCTCTCTCTTCTCTGCCTCAACCCCTTGTCTCCCCTCATTTGTTTTGATGCTCCCCTTTTCTTTCACCTTTGCTGTTGTTCTATTCCATGCTTCACTTCTTTGGCTCTTAGGAAATTTTCTTTTCTTATTTAATACATTTTAAAAAATCTCTTCAAGTTTAAATAACCAAACAATTATCAGCTTACCTGACATAAACTTGGATAGTCCATTTATAAGTTATATTTCGAAAAGCTTATTTTTATTAAAATCTGCTAAACCTTTCTGAGTTTTACTTCGTGTGTTCCCTTGTTTCCTTTCATCCACTTCTTGATACCTGTATTGAAATGGGCATTCATATGTCTACTGCTGTATACTGTGTTTTATACATTATTCTAACATCCTAAACAGCATATCTAACCTTATTGCCTTATGGTATCTCAAGCACAATTTGACCATATTAATGTCTTATTATATTGTATTATTGAAAACAATTTTGTTTACTGTATGTAATGGTTTGGTTCAGACGAGGAGTCACAATAACGTGGCTGAAATATGTTGACCAGACCACACACTAGAAAGTGAAGGGACGACGACGTTTCGGTCCGTCCTGGACCATCGACTTGAGAATGGTCCAGGACAGACCGAAACGTTGTCATCCCTTCACTTTCTAGTGTGTGGTTTGGTCAACATGGTTTTGTTCACTTCTGTAACCTGACAGTATAGGCAGATGGGGCAAAAATTGTCCCCTTAGCTCTCTACTCCGGGTTCTGAGCGGAGAATTTTGTAAATCCCAAAATCACAGGCTTGGGAAGTCCAAGATACCAATTTAATAATAAATATGGAGAACTGGTCACTCGTACATATTTAATTTACCTTGACGACAAAATCAAATCGGTTATAGTAATATACAATCGAAGTTTATCTACCAATTTGAATGTTGAAGTCACATGTTCCATCTTGCTGCAAACATCTATACTATGTTTCAGTTTTGTTTATGTTTGTGTGTCATCTGTAATAGTTTAACTAAGAATTTATATTAAATGGATTTGCAGTTAAATGCTTTTCTAATTTTCTAATTGCAAAAGCTTGAAAACAGCATAGTTACATTATTTTTATACATAATGTTTATAGACAATTTAAGAATATATATATGTGCTACCTTCTCCCAGGGGCTTGCCTTTGAAAGGATGATAACTGCATCTCTTCTTAGTTCCACTCTCCCTTAGCCACTGGCCCCGTGCTCTCTTACCCAAATACGGTAGTGTAGTACTCTTCTCCTCAGTCATTTAACTCCATCCGAAATGATTGCATTTGAATAAAGCACTGTATTGATATTGGTTGACATTGAATGTCACTAAGTTGTAAAAAAAATTAATTGAATGGTAACAACCATAGTTTAATTGAGGTGCTAATTTGCTCATTTACTTGTCTATGTCATGAGAGGTTCATATTGTTCATTTTGGGTTTATTTTAGGCATGTTATAGTATAGTATAGTATATATACTGTACTGCTTTTCACTCAGCTAAAGCTCTTGAGTATTTGTGATAAATTTCTTGCAAGTTTTGACATGATCAATGGCATTTGTTGTCAAGGTGAGTTGTGTAAATAAAGATTTAAGTACATGGACTATTGTCATGGCTTGTGCAGTGTCACGCACAGCTACACTGTCTTCACCAGATTTTGACATATATGACATTAAGGCGAGTCTTGCTGTTCATGCCGTCTCCTTAATTACTGTACCGTTGTAATAGCAATCTCGTCTCATATGTACAAATTCTGCATTTATTGGATCCATGTAGAGTAGTGGCAGTCCTGTGTCTCGTCTTCAAGCAATTATATTGAGAACAATTTTGGTTTAGAATTATGTGGTGATATTGTTTACTATTATGTAGTTTGTAGTCAAATAATCTTACAGTTGAATACTGGAAAAAAATATCATGCATACCTTGATCTATACTATGTTTCAGTTTTGTTTATGTTTGTGTGTCATCTGTAATAGTTTAACTAAGAATTTATATTAAATGGATTTGCAGTTAAATGCTTTTATAATTTTCTAATTGCAAATTGGATCCCAGTTGCTCATATGTCTTGCCTCAAAATGCCTTCCTGACATGTGGCCTTAAATCATAACCCAAGACCGTGCAATTTTTTTTTTTATAATATACTGCAACTTCTTTCTTTAAACCAAATCTTATTCCTTATACCTCATGATTTTTCCTCTATGACAAAACCATGCATTTCTCAAGATTGTTGCATCTGTATTATCATCACGGCTTTCATTCATTCATTTCAAAATTCATTCGTAAATCATTCTAAATTTGCAGTATGTTAAGAATTGTTATGGATTTTATTTGCGTATGTTGCATAAAATGTTTACTAATATTAGTGTTTTATTCACAGCTTCATACACGGGGTCGAGCAGTGAAGAAGATGAAGTTTCTCCACGAGAAAAAACCCAAAAGAACTCCAAAAATTTTACTGACTTCTGTGTTAAGAACATATCCCAAGCTGCTTTTGGACGACGGGAGATTGAGATTGCTGAACAAGGTAAATGGAAACGATTAGCACTGATTATGGTCAAACAGTAAATCACATACAGATACCTGGTTGATGGGGTTCTGGGAGTTCTTCTACTCCCCAAGCCCGGCCCGAGGCCAGACTTGACTTGTGAGAGTTTAGTCCACTAGGCTGTTGCTTGCAGCGGCCCGCAGGCCCACATACCCATCACAGCCCGATTGGTCCGGCACTCCTTGGAGGAATAAATCTAGTTTCCTCTTGAAGATCAGAACTGTACACTGGTACATTTATTTAAGGACATAATTATTTACAAGAAAAAAAATTTTTTTTTTTGACAATTTTAACTGCTTATAGACTAGAGTATATTAATTTTCAATATTGTATTTGTTCTCACAGACTAATAACATGTAATAAGAATGCTTTGGGAAGACATCTTGAAGGTACTGTACTTGAAGGCTGCCGTTTCCTTATCAAGAACCGTGACACATTGTCAGTAACCTTCTGGTACCTTCAAGACATCTTCCCTAAGCAAGGATCAAAGCAAGGCTTGAAGTAACAATAGCCAGTTTCTATACTTTTGAGGCATAACCAGTCAGACAATATTATTTACTACCCAAGAATAAAAAAGATAAATAATTGGAAATTATTTATCTTTTGTAATTGTTGTAATTGCCCATGTCACCTTTATGGGAGGGTGGGAATTCTATCCAGCTTCGTGTTACATCGTGGGGCAATGTTATGAAGTTATCTGTTTGTCCTTCTAGCACCGACGCTCTTGTCTGTTGCTCTCCTTGTGTACTTTTTTACATGTTCAAGAAAAGAAGGTTTATGCAAAATAGTTGCTTCATATGGGTCTAATCTGCCTGTCCCTAATTTAGAAGATCTTCTTTCATGTTTGCTCTTCTTATGCTTCTGTACATCCTGTTTGGTTTCTCGGTAGGATTTTTAATTCCCTACTATTGGAAAGATTGTGTCCTTTCCTGGTCATGTAGAAAATAATAATAGTTTATAGTAATAATAGCTATAGGTTACAATGTTGTACTTAACACAGTAGTGTGTGTTGCTGACTAGGCAGAATATTAATTTGCAATTACCTGTATAACCATAAATATTGACCAAATGATGTAACTTTCAGAGATGCCTGGCATTGTGGCGCTCCGAAAGCGTGCTACTGATGACAAGCCTCTCAAAGGTGCCAAGATAGTTGGCTGTACGCACATCAATGCTCAGACTGCAGTAAGGCCGAGAAGCATGTTTGTCAAAATTATTAATTGATATTTGCTAGTATGACCAAGTTTCTTAATGGATATTGATGTGTCAGGGGTGTGTGTAATTGGTATTGGTATATGAAGGGATGTAATGGGTATTGCTCTTTGAGGTGGTGTAATGGGTATTGTTGAATTAGGGGGTGTAACGGATATTGTTATATGTAGGGTGTAATGGGTATAGATGTATAAAGGAGTGTAATGGGTATTGATGTCTTGGGGGCAACTTTAATATTTCACTTGTTTTGATTTTGACTGAATCATGTGTACCAGTCAACAAATGATCTTACACCAATTTTCAGGTATTAATTGAAACATTGGTGGAGTTGGGAGCCAGTGTGCGGTGGTCAGCTTGCAATATATTTTCTACACAAAATGAAGTTGCTGCCGCTTTAGCCGAGGCTGGTAAGGAAGCTTTCCTGGTATTTTGAATCCTGTGATATTCTGTGCTGTTAATGCAAGTCTTTGCAATACTAGAAGCAATGTAGTCTTCATGTAATCATTACTGGCTTCTTGCTTTTAAATAATAAAGGGTAATATGAAATTAAATATAAGCGATGGACGAAAACATCATCACTCTCGCACATCACAGGTGTGGGTTGGATTATTTATTTCAGCATGTTATCGTGACTTATTCTCTGCCATTGGATGGTAATATAGGCATGATTGAGCAGGAGAAGTCAGATGTCTGTTTTGTTTGAATTTGCCTGGGTACTATTACAGGAAGAGATCTTTACAAATGGTTTCTAGAAGTTGGAAGATTCACAATAATTTACCACAATACTATAGCTTTGTTATTGATTAGGAATAACTATAGTTTTTTAGTTTTCAAAATTACTGTGTCGCACAGATCCATGCTTTAAAAATGTTATAAATAAATAAAATAAATGTTTATTTAGGTAAGGTACATACATACAAGAGATTTTACAAAGAATGATGGATTTTGTTGTCTTGTTTTTGGAAAAACTAACATTGATTAGTATATTTTAATTTGTTCAGATCACCCAATCTTTGCTTGGCGAGGAGAAAGTGAGGAAGACTTCTGGTGGTGCATTGACAAGTGCATCAACACTGAGAACTGGCAACCAAACATGATCTTGGACGACGGAGGCGATGCCACCCATCTCATGCTTAAGAAATATCCAGCAATGTTCAAGATGATCAAAGGTAAAAAAAAAAAATCCTATTTAAAAAATACAGTAAGTGTATTATTTTATCTTGACCCTATTAAAGTAAAGATCTCACTAATAGTATGTAAATTGCTTGAACATTCTCATGGATTTTACATATCAACTCGGTTACAAAAATAATTTGGTGAAAAATTACCAATGTTTTTAAAATGTTATAAATAATATTAATTACCTATTTAATAACTACATTTGATATTGATATTTTCATTAATTTTTCCATTTTCATGGGGTGTGGAAATACCTAGAGTACCTGGAAAGGATGTAATATTAATACTGTATAGGACAAAATGAGTCAGAGGTATTCAGTGAGAATTTTCCTTTCATATTACCTGGACACTGTCTACAATTCCGTACATATTATTTAATGCTGCAAGAAACATACTGCCACACTAGCACAAACTCCACGAGCATTGTCCCGTATACTCGGAGACTTGGTGTGCACTACTACACTCGATCTATGGAACAACGGAGATTTTGCTGTGGATATTTTGTTAGTGTGTGGTAGTGCTAGTTTCATGCGATGTTACTGATTGTAGGAGATATTGCATTATGAAAGGATGTATATTGGATGTCATTCAAATATGTTTGACTCTTCTCTTTCCTTTAATTCAAGCAGACCTTGCTAAACCCAGCCCCACAAAATGCTCATTCGTTACACTATACTGTAGTGTTTTTTGTTCTGGGAATTTTTTTTATTAAAAATAATAATAAAATCCATACTATATAGTACAGGTACTGTGTGAGCAACTCTGCAACTCTCATACATGTGATATGTATGTTCCTGAGAAATGCCCTATCTCATTAGATATATTGTACAGTGAATATGGAAGTTCAATGAATTAATATTCATTGAGGTCTCCCAGTGGGAAATCACCTCACCCTTGGATTTGTCATATGTTTAATTTATGGCCGCCTCCCACCCTCTTCCCTTGCCCTCTTTTCTGATTTTTGTATCATTGGCCTCTTTCACTGTCTTTGTCTCACTGTCTTTGTCTGCCAGTTTCTTACTGTCTATTCCTTTTATCTCTGAATTAGTGTATTTATTACTTTCTCTTTCTGACTGTCTGTCTCTTGTCTCCCATTTTTTTGTATATAAAAAACAATATAAGCCACTACAATGGACCCAGTGTAATTTAATCTAGCCTAGCCTTACCTTCCTAACCTAACTCCCACCTGTGATCTGGGCTTGATTCCCATAGGAGGACAGAGATGCACATTTCTTTCCTCCTGATTCTAAGTTGACCTAGCAGTAAATACCTAACTTAGGAGTTTGGCATTTGTTATAGGTTGTATTCTAGGGAAGGTTAGTAGTAGTACTGGGAAACATCAATAAACTGGATAGGTTACCTGTTCCTGACAATGGGAAGCCATACATAAACAAAACTCTTTGGGAGCAGTGCATATAAAAATAATTAATTTTGTCAAGAACAGGATTATATTGAGGTCCATCCCAACCAAAGGCCAGACTACTTACCTTTCCCCAGAATGCATGCCCACAACAAGCTGACTAAGAACCGGGTGCCTGTTTACTGCTAGGTAAACAGAGGCATTAGGCGATAGAAAACATGCTCAACTATTTCTGCCCCGCCCGGGATAGAAATTATTGTTCTCGATTAGATCTGGGAGCAGAAGCAAGTGATCAAGTTGGATAGCAGATCCAGGAAAGAATGAGACTACAGGCAGAGACTGTTGAAGAGATAATTACTTTCTTTAGGCAGTACAGTAGGAGAATGAACTTAGGGAAGACAGTAAATAAGATGAAATATAATGTCAAGAAATGCTTTCCACAAAAGCCATGTGCAGAAAAAATGTCACCAAATGAAGAAATATTTACTGCTTAGGAAAATGGGAGATAATAATAATAGAAATATTAACCCCTTGTTCAACATACAGTGTAATGTAAAGTGGCCAAATAGAGGAGAGAGACGATGAGGAAAAACTAGGCAGCAGAATACTGAACCAAGTGATGGCACTAAAGAGAGCAGGAGAGAAACAGTATGAGAATGACATTGTATCTAAAGTTAAACAGCAGCCATGGCTATTGCACAGCCATACAAGGAGAGACCACAGTAGAGAACCAAGTTTTCAAGCAAATCAGAGAAAACATTTTAACAGAAAATTGCAAGGACATCTGCAAGAATTTAAACAAAAGGTTTCAGAAAGTCTTCAAGACCAAACCAGAGTGGAGCTCTGGCATAAGCAACATCAGATGAGAAGAAGCAACATTGAGCAATATTATAGTATCAGAGGAGGTAATGGATCGATTTATTAAACTGGACATAGGCAATGTTGCAAAACCAAACCAGTCATTGTCATGCCTACTGAGAAATTAGGGATACTATGAAGCTGATTTAACTACAGTCTGTAATGCAACATTGGTAAATTAATAGTTCATGTACATTTAGTAAGTTGTAAACATGGTGATAGTATTGAAAAAAATATGCAGATAGGAAGCCCAAAATTACAAGGAGCCCAAATGGAAATAGGGTTGTAGAACATGTGGAGAGGACAAAGTTCATAACTGAGAGGTGGCATGGGTTTCAGGGGGTAAGGTGTACCTGACAGAACTGATACACTTCCTTAACATGTTACTTTACCTTGTGGTTACCTTGCGATGGTTTTGAGGCTTAGCGACCCCGCGGTCTGGTCATTTTCCAGGCCTCCTCGTTGCTGGACTGGTCAACCAGGCTGTTGGACACGGCTGCTCGCAGCCTGACGTGTGAATTGCAGCTTGGATAATCAGGTATACTTTGGAGGTGCTTGTCAAATTCTCTCTTGAATACTGTGAGGGATCGGCCAGTTATGCCCCTTACGTGTAGTGGAATCTGTGAAAGTTCCAACGGAGGTCCAACGTGTTCTCTTTTCTAGTTGGTTCTACTATTTGTTGGTTTAAAGTAAATCTGTCGCACATCCGTAGCAAGTCATTTGCATGTGACTTCATTTAGGCTACTTTCTAGTATTCTTTCTGATATAACGGTATTAGCTAGGTGCTTTTATTTCAGGTGCCGTAGGTTGATGTCCCCAAGCAAGATGATGTATGGGGCTGGATCTGTGAGGTTTTCCAAGCAGTGTTCTATTTTCATTAGTTGGTCTTTAAACTGCTGAAGATTTGCCTCCAGTGACTTATATTTAAGGACAATAATTACAGCTAGGATCTCTATTTTGATTATCAGCACTTCTGCCATATCATTTGTGGTGTTTAGCAGCTCAGTAGTTTCTCAGTGTTACCAAGTTGAGATGGGAGAGACGGGGGGCCGAGTGGGTTGCATCTTCTGTCAAAAGGTATTTGATACTGTTTATCAATGAAGTTATTCAAAACTGGGTAATAGAGTACTTGATAGACAGGAAGGATAAAGGAAATATCAGGGTGGAGTGAAGAAGCTAGCAGTGTTCCACAGAGGCAAGATCTCACATAACAGTGTTTGCAGATGTTGCAAAACTAATACGAAGGATAACAACTGAAGAAAGTTTAACAACATTACAGGATAACTTTAATGAGGTACAAGCTTGCTTTTGGAGAAATGATTACTGAAATTCATTCCCAAGAAATGTGAAGTAATGGAATTTGGAAGTGGGAATTGACATCAGAAGAATGCTACATGATACAAGGGAGGCTACAATAAATAAAAAAAGGGAAGATACCTGGGAGTGTACAGAAGGCTAGCACTAACACTGGATACAAGAGGCACGTATACATAGAATAACAGCACATGTAAAATTGGCAAACATGAGAATGACATTTAGAACCTAAGATAGGAATCATTCATTATGTTATACTGTACACAACAAATGTCAGGCCAGATTTGGGATATACGCAGAGCCAGTATGGAATTTGAACCTTGTGAAGCACAAGAAACGAATAAGAAGGTCCTGAGATTTGCTATTAATTTAGCACATGATGTAATAGAGTTGGGTTATGAGAACATTGACAAAAGCAAAGACCAGAGATAACGTGATCATAATATATATATGATAATGAGAGAAGTAGACAAGGTGGATAGAGACAATCTATGAGAACATTGTTATGAGAACATTGAGAAAAGCAAAGACCAGAGATAACGTGATCATAATATATATATGATAATGAGAGAAGTAGACAAGGTGGATAGAGACAATCCTTCCATATGTGGGCACGGAGGTCAAGAGGAGACATTTTGAAACTGAAGAAAAAAATAGTTGGAGAAAACCAAGGAAATGCAATACTGTACAGTTATTCAGTGTAAATGGTAAACAAATGGAACACCCTTGAAGCAAAAGTCGTGGAAGCTTCCTTGATTCACAACTCACTCTCACACACCCCCTCCCTTTTCCTTATATGCACACAGGCTCCCCCCCTCTCCTCCCTCCCCCCACCCATACACACACACATGCGCACATGCACACACACATACGCACATGCGCACACACAATGCATGCCACAGACCAGCCCATCTTCCTGGCAGTAACCCCTGACATCTTGTCTCCCACCGCTGCCATGTAGGGGTAGCAGCATGCACTGGTGAGTACAGTACTTAATGATATTTGTATTATTAATTTCATTTATTTAAATTGCACTGTATTTCTTTTTCTTTTTAAAATCATACATATGTTGTTATTACTTGTGTCCCAATAATGAAGTCCCCTCCTGTGTCAGTCATTGGTAAGAAATTAGGCTGTTTGGAAATGCATCTCCAATGTGTGTGTGTGCAATGTTATTGTATCCCTTTTCAGTGTTCTCTTCTGGATCTCATTGTGAATGTCAAATGAGGTGCACTTGTATTTTTTAATCCTTTCCAGGCAAGTGCCTTCCCACCCTTTGAAAGTGGGAAAGAGAACAATAATGGGGATGATAACCTTTTTATGTATTTTTCATTATTGTTCATGTTAATAAATTATGTTCTGCCTATGATTTAACAAGAAAATTATGTTGCCACGTCTGAGGAACTATCCAATGTTAATGTGCATTGGTTATATTCAAAGTTTTGGTCCTGATGTGCA